AGAAGTCGCACTGATATTTTCTTGAACAGTACAATGCTATCAGTACATGCTCCATGGAATTTTTCACCCAAATCTCAGATATCTGTTTTTTCTTAGAAGATGGTAACTAAGTGCATCAATTAAGAAGCAGATTATTTTTAATTACTGTTCTCTGGTAGGTACAAAAAAGGTAAAGTCTGCATACAAGCCAAGTAGCCCTTCAGGCTGGTGCTTATCTCCGGTTTCTGTATCATGAAGCGACTAGGAGAAATTCTACTTCCCCTTTATACTGTACATGTACCTGGATGAAGAGAGGCACTAAGATTGTAAAGGGTCTGGTGCAAGAACACAACACAATGTCCCCCACCAGGACTTGATCCTAGACCGCTCAATCCGGAGACAAGTACTCTAACCATGAGGCCACTGTGCCTCCACTCTTCTCTGACTCTCTGATAAATGTTTTTTCATTATAGTAACAGTGCTTTCAATAAGCTTTGTGGTAGGTGGACTGACCCTGGTACAGCATCCATCAGAAAGCATCACAGATGCCCAATTTTTGAAACTTCTATATGAATGTTATATTTGGGGATTTACATGTACAACTTGTAGAATATCTGCCAGAGCTCCTGACAAGCAGGGGCCAGGTCTTATCAAAAGCATTGTTCAGTGTTATTAAGGGGCGTTTACCTTATGCTGGATGAGTCGCAATCCACCTTGACAGCCTCCAGTATCATTGTTACTAAGCCAGCATATGCCTGCTTTAAGGTAGCAGCTTCAACACTAGCAATATCTTCATCATCTGCATAATGTAAATAAGAACTATGTATCTTGAATGCAATGATGGTTTAACAAACTTAACAATTATTATGCAATTAGTTCAGAGTTAGACTTGTAAGGGTATGTAACACTTTCATCCAGATAACTCCATGTGTACAGTAGTTAGACACTTATGCCAAGTCTCCTGCATACAGACCAAATCTTCCAGTCTCCCGTAAAATCTCTCACACAAAATGAACGAAAGCCAATAACATACATTTTTCAGACATACATGTATTTTGGCTGATTTTGCCATTTTGGGAGAACAATTTTGGATGTTTGATGCATTTTTATGGTCTAATTGGCAGAGCTCTCATGTACATGTACTTTGAACAACATGTTTTTAAGGTCAAAAAAGGGTAAAATTGATGATCTCCCAGATTTTGAATTTTTTAGGTTGTAAATCACTACCCATGCTTAATGTATACCATCTATTTGATAGCATTGCTCATCATTTAGACAACCAGAGAACTACCAAGTTGAACTCTTGAATAAAATAAAATTTTCTAGATAAATGCACTGACTATGTCGATAAAAGCTCTTCTCCAGATTGAGGCATAGAACGCCTCAAGGTTTTCCCACTTGTATAATGTCTCACTCGTGCAGACATTATTCAAGTGAGAAAACTTGACACGTTTCTGCAAGGGTAACCAGGGAAATTTACAAGCCAAAGGGTCTTGGATAATTATGATGTCCCTTT